AGCATAAAACTGCAGCAAAATGTAACATTGCCCCAAATAAGTATTTTTCTGGAGGTACCACTGATATAAGGCAAAGCAGGGTCAACATGGTAGAGAGTTATGATAGATAGAAGGAAAATCTGAAATGAGCAGCAGTCTAAACTACAAGGGCAGAAGGAAGGAAACTGAGGTCATGCTGAAACCACTACAGCTCAAATGGGTCTTTGTTACTTGTTAGTTTGATTTTATCTTCCTCAGTAAACTTCAAGTTTTGTGAGAGCAGGAAACAACTGTTTTGTTCACCATTATATTTCTAGCTCCTATTTTAAAGTTTACAAAGTACTAGTGTTCTGATCTGCCCAAATGTGCACCTTTTGTAAACCCTATGTTCTCTGTTTCTTTGATGATCATGAAACAGAACTGCATTTATAATTCTTAAATTTCAAAATTTTTAAAATTTTTTTATTGATTATGCTGTTACAGTTGTTCTATTCCCCCTTTCATTCCCCTCCACCCTGCACCCCCCATCCCCACCCTTCCCCTTTAATTTATGACCATGTGTCTCAAGTCCTTTAGATTCTATATTTCCCATGCTATTCTTGCCCCCCCATCTATTTTCTATCTACTGTCTATGCTACTTATTTTCTGTACCTTCTCCCCCCTTCTCCTCCTCCCACTCCCCTATTGCTAACCCTCCTTGAGATCTTCATTTCTATGTTTCCACTCCTGATCTAGCTGTCCTTTTAGTTTGCTTTCGTTTTAGGTGTGGTTGTTAATAACTGTGAGTTTGTTGTTCTTTCACTTCTTTTTCTTAGATAAGTCCCTTTAACATTTCATATAATAAGGGCTTGGTGATGATGAACTCCTTGAATTTGATCTTATCTGAGAAGCACTTTATCTGTCCTTCCATTCTAAATGAAAGTTTTGCTGGATAGAGCAATCTTGGTTGTAGGTCTTTGGATTTCATGACTTGGAATACCTCTTTCCAGCCCCTTCTTGCCTGTAAGGTCTCTTTTGAGAAATCTGCTGACAGTCTGATGGGGACTCCTTTGTAGGTGACTGTCCCCTTAGCTCTTGCTGCTTCTAGGATTCTCTCCTTCATTTTAATTTTTGCTAATGTAATGATGATGTGCCTTGGTGTGTTCCTTCTTGGGTCCAACTTCTTTGGTACTCTCTGAGCTTCCTGGATTTCCTGGAAGTTTATTTCCTTTGCCAGCTTGGGGAAATTCTCCTTTATTATTTGTTCAAATAAGTTTTCCACTGGTGGCTGTGCCTTTCCCCCTTCTGGTACCCCTATCATTTGGATGTTGGAGCATTTAAAGATGTCCTGGAGGTTCCTAAGACTCTCCTCATTTCTTTGAATTCTTGCTTCTTGACTCTTTTCTGTTTGGCCATTATTTGCTTTCTTCTGGTCCACTCCATTGATTTGAGTCCCAGTTTCCTTTTCATTGCTATTGGTGTCCTGTGCAATTCCATTCATTTCAATTAGTTTCGCCTTCATATATTTGTCTAATTTGTGGCTATAATCAACCAGTTCTGTGAGGATCCTGATGGCCAGTGTTTTAAACTGTGCATCTGAGAGTTTTGCTATTTCTTCATGGCTTAGATCTATAGGCTCTGGGGCTTTGAGATCTTCTTGCGCCATTTTTGGTCTGTTCGCACCCTTTAAGTGTGAGAAGCGGTGCCTTGGACTCCCAGATTGCTGGGTTGTGACGCTGCGCTGTATATGGGGGCGTGGTCAGAGCGGGGAAATGGCGACCCCCTCTGCTGTTTCTCTCAGCTGGATGAGGAGCAGCGCATTAGGTGGTTCATCTGGGCCGGGCCACTCAGAGTCACTGGGTTATGACGCTGTATGTGGAGGTGGGGTCAGAGCAGGGAAATGGCGGCGTCCTCCACTGCCACTTGCCGCGGGACCCGCTGGGCCCGGTCCAACCACCCACTTCCTCTCCTGTCCAACCGCGCACAAATGCGCGACCACAGTCAACACGCAGCCCCGCTTCCCCGCTGTCTCCCCGAGGTCGCTCGCCTGGTGGCTCGCTCGGTCGCTCACTAGGTCCAACCCTGCGCCTGGATTCCGTGCGCTTGGATTCCGCTGGATTCCGCGCCTGAGTCCGTCTGACCGAGTTTTCCTGTGCAACCCCCCTTCACCAGCCGCTGGTTTCACCCCTTACCGGTCAGGCTGAAGAATTTGTTGTTAACGGACTTCCGAAAAGTTCAATTTTCCGTGTTCTGGCTGTGTTTTCTGTTGCTAATATTTAGTTGTCTCTAAACTTGGTTGTGTGAGAAGGCACGGCACATCCACCTATGTCTCCATCTTGGCGGAAGTCCTAAATTTCAAAAAATATTTAAATGTCACTGGTAATCAGATGAATTCCTTATGCTATCTTCTCTAAGTGATGGCTGCTTGCTAGGATGAGCCACCAGAGCTGGCTGCTGGGTCTGGAGCCTGCAGGCTGGACTGTTATGATAAAATAATGCATATAAACCATTTTTTGCATAGCAAATGCTGAGTAAATCTTAGCTAATATGATTTAAATAATCTCTTGGTTTTTTTTCTAAAGATTTTATTTATTTTCAGAGAGAGGGGAAGGGAGGGAGAAAGGGAGGAAGAGAAAAAACATCGATGGGAGAGAGAAACATCAGTTGGCTGCCTCTCACACACCTGGCCTGCAACCCAGGCATGTGCCCACTGGGAATAGAATCAGCAACCTTTTGGTTCACAAGCCAGCATTCAATCCACTAAGCCACCCCAGCCAGGCCTAATCTCTTGTTTTATAGCAGAAAACATATTCTTGAAAGTCAGGGCAGTTGGCAAAACCTCAAGCAGCAAGATGAATTGATCATATAACAATCAACATTAAGTATATATTTTCATATTATAAAATTCACCCTTCTAAAGTATACAATTCAGTGACTTTTAGCATAGTCACAAAGTTGTACAACCATCACCACAATCTAAATCTAGGTCATTGCCATTACCTTTAAAAGAAATTCCAGCAGGGCAGAGTGGAGCACAGTGACCAGACCAAGACCAGAGCAGGTGGAGCAGAACAGAAGAGAGCAGAGCAGAGTTGTCTAGCCAGAGGGGCCTGGACCCAGGGCCTCCTCACAGCCCTGCTGTTTCACAGTGGTACTGCTTCATAATTGAGCTCTAACACTATCTAGCTATTACACAGCTGTGCTGTATCACAGTGGAGCTGTTTGTACTGAATAAAGTTTTTCTCACTGCACATCCCCACCCCCCAAAAAAATTCTATACCCATCACTAATCACTCCTCATTTCCCTCTTGCCCCAGCCCTAAAAACCACTAATCTACTTTAAATGTATTAAAAAAACAAATCCCATAAAGTTCCTAAATTGCTTCCATTTCCAAAATATAATGCATTCACTAGGATTAAAAACTGGTTCTGCTAGGCAACCCTTCTCTTAAGTCACCCTCAATTGGCCAGGTTCTCCCACAAGTTTTACCTTATACAGAATACATCTAATTTTAAAGTTTTAAAGACAGCCCGATAGACTTAAAATGCAGTATATTTTTGTACTTGGATATTCCCCGATGGGCATATTTTTCTGAGTTTGATCTCCTAAGCACATATTGAGAGGATGGAGAATAAACAGACTTATTTCTCTCTTTACTTCCATAGAATTGTCCACTCAACCTAGCACAAAAAAAAAAAAATGGAATAAATCAGCCCTGGCTTGTGTAGCTCAGTGGATTGAGTGCGGGCTGCGAACCAAAGGATCGCCAGTTCGATTCCCAGTCAGGGCACATGCCTGGGTTGCAGGCCAGGTCCCCAGTGGAGGGCATATAGGAGGCAACCACACATTGATGTTTCTCTAACTCTCTCCAACCCTTTCCCTGTCTAAAAATAAATAAAATCTTTTAAAAAATTGAATAAATCTTTAAAAAATCTTTTGTTACCTTTTGATTAAATGGAACTTGAATGAATTGTTAATGTGTGAAGTGATGGTAAATTAAACATTTTCACTGTACAAAAAAATCATGGGAAATAAGACTATAAGTATGAGTTTGCAATGTTGCAGAGAATTCTGAATTCTATGGCCCTTTAAAATAAACCCACAAAAAGTTTAATAGACTACTCAAAGCAACAGAAGATTTTGGAGGCAGAGGAGGGCAGAGGAGGGTTAGCACTGGACTTTACAACTTATTAGATGATGGGGAAAGGAGAAGAGAACCACCAAAAATAACTCAAATTTCACAAATGGGATATTGGTGGTGTGATAATAAGGAAGTTGGGAGGAGGAACTGGTTTAGGGGGAAATATGAATTCTATTTCAGAATTGTTCCAGCTTGAAGGACCCAGTTGTGGGCTCAGAGATGTGGGCTCAGAGATACAGATTTGGGAGTAACCTTTATAGAGGTTGTACATGAAGCAATGGGAGTAAATAGCTCACTTGGTAAGAAGAGAGAATAGAGCTAGAAGAGAGGTGAAGACAGATCACAGTGATTGTTTACACTTAAGAAAGTAAGAAGAGGAAGAGAAACCAGCCAAGGCAGAGGAGTGGTCAGAGGTAGAAGAACTATGACAGTACTGCACCACAACAGCCAAGGGACTGACTCATTAAATCAAAGAAACTGAAGATTGAGAGTAAGTCATTACATGAGTGTTTGCAAACTCCACAGCAAGGTTTAAGCAGTTTCTATCAAGTGGTGGGGTCAAGGATCTATTATAAGAGTAGAGATTCAGACAAGTTACCTTAAGCAGAGAAGTAACCTCACTTACTGTGAGGGCAAACATCCATTCTCCTAATTCGTTTGTTGAGCCCCTAACATTCAACTGACACATGGGGAAAGGTGAAGGGAGGGATGCACAACAAAATACATTTCTTTGGTTGAGTACTCTTTCTTCTTTTATTTTGGCTCTCCATTAAAGTTTAAATATGGTCATAAGTGGTAATAAATGATGATGTTATAAAACGCTAAATTCATTGGGTCACTTTCATAGAAAAGATTAGGGTGCTTTTACTTTTGCTGCACCAATGCTCAGCTTCTTTAGAAATGGAGCCCACTATCCTGGGGTGGACAGCTCCCCAGGATAAAAGAGAACTTATTTTAGCTGTTTTGTCCCTAAAGGTATCTTCCAAACCCTCCTCCAACATTGAACCAGACAACTACACTGAAGCGAATGATTTGGTCACACGGATACCCTCTAAAGTGCAGATACAAGATATTACTAAGGAGCTACACTGCCCACTATGTAATGATTGGTTCCGGGATCCACTGATGCTAACCTGTGGCCACAACTTCTGCCAGGCCTGTATTCAAAACTTTTGGAAGCAGCAAGCAAAGGAAACTTTCTGTCCTGAGTGTAAGATGATATGTCAATATAACAACTGTACATTCAACCTTGTACTGGATAAGCTGATAGATAAGATTAAGGAACTACACCTACTCAAGGGCTATCCACAGTGCCCAGAACATGGAGAGAACCTGAAACTGTTCAATAAGCCAGAAGGGAAGCTGATCTGCTTTCAATGTAAAGATGCTCAGTTGTCTGTGGGGCAGTCTAAAGAGTACCTGCAAATCTCTGATGCTGTCCATTTCTTCATGGTGGGTGAGCCCTGGGCCTTGAACAATACCTTAGGAAAGCTGTGGGAAAAATCTTTTGTGGGGCTTCTGATCTCTTACAGATGACTCATCTTTATTCAGATAAATATTAGAAAGCTCAGAATGCTCGGAAAATACAATATATTTTGCAGTGTTCTTTCTCTAGAGGTGCTGATATAGGAAAATAGCGGAGGAGCTGTGCCCTACTCTTTCAATCAATCAAATATTTACTTAAACCCTGACATGACAGTGCTGTACTAGACATCAAGTAAAATATGAGTGTAAAAGACATTGCTCTTGTAATGAGAGTTTGGAAATTCAGTCAAAACGAATAAAACAACAGAGGTAATATAATATAGTATACTACTGACAGCTAAATTTTGTCACTTTAGTAATTCATAAGTGCTTTAGTAATTTCATAAATGCAGGAAATCATTTGGATTTGGATAGGCAGAAGGAAGAAATGAGTATCTGAAGTGAGAACGATGTATATAAAGGTATAGTGAGAACAGCATAACTAGAGTAGAAAACATAGTAGTTATGTTTCTCAAACCTCTGTAGTTACTAAGAAGGTAAAAAACCCTAAGTTTTTCTGCTGCTTATACTTTCCTTTCAAAATTCTTGGGAGGGACAGAAACTATTCCAGAGGGAAAGGGAAAGACTTTTGCAGCAAGAGCTGGATTTTTTTCCCTGACATACTAGGGCTTCGAGGAAGATGCCCCCTATGGCCCTTCATCTCTCGGGTCAGTGTAGGTTAATTCTATGTGGTATTCTCAGGAGGAGATTATCATCTATAAAGATCAACTGGAGGCAACCCTGAAGGAACTTCAGGCCCTGAGGAACATGCAGAAAGATGCTATTGCTGATTACAAGGTGAGGAGGAGGGTAGGGGATAATAGGATAGAACTAGAATATACCCTCCTTATAACTTTGGTTATTTGGGTAGAAATGTGCCTATACATATATTGTCAATACACTGGGCTATCCAGACCTGGGCTATAGAATTAAAAAATTGACACAATAGAATAGAAAAAAGTATAGCAGTAGAATAGGTTACCAATAGTTGAGCAACAGAGAGACCTCAACTAGCCTTTCCCCTAATATGCGGATCCTTTTGATGGTTCAGTTGCTGGGTAATTGTTGTGGGATTACGATTTGTCTGGTCCTTCCTCTTGGTTTTTGGCAAAATAAGAAATTTACCTATAGCAAATCAACTGAAGATAATAGCTATGTCCAAAGAAACACCTTTCTTTTCTTTGGGTTTACAACCAGTCTACTTCTGAAACAAGTGTTCTCAGATTGCTGGCTTTTACCATCTGATTTGATCTTGCCTAGCTTCCCCCTAACAAAGTAACACCATTGCCTATACTTTCACAGGAGCTCTAGGACTTCAGTGGTTAGTGTCTTGACAAATAGGTCCCTAAATTGGGGGGCTAAATTGGGAGTTCTGTTTTTTTTATTAATTATTCTATGGAGGAGAGTATTCTCTGGTGTTTGGCATCTGAAAGAAATAGTATATACAGTGAGAGAAAGACTAGATGGAAATAATGATGCCTCTAAAGAATCTTGTTCCTGTTGCAAGAGTTCCTAGTTCAGCTATTACAGTTAAAATTCATTCATTCAAAAAGTATTTATTGAGTGGGTCAGGCATTAGGCTAGACACTATATTCCATTCAGTTGGGAGATGAATATTAAATGATCCCACCAATAGCAATAAAATAACAACTGTGATAATACTTTTAATTAAAATATAGGGTGCTATGAGAGCATATAAATGGCGAACCTAATCTAGACTGAGGTAGGGCTGTTTTCGGAAGAAGTCACCAATTAATAATTGAGAAATGAAGAGTAAGTAACTTAGCTAAGTGAACCAGTGAGGAGAAGATGAAGGAAGTGCTCTAAAGAATGTTCTATAAAGAATAAAGAGCATATAGAAAAATCCTGAGCAAGGAAGTCAGTTGCTATGTTAAACAGGGAGAAAGCCAATAAAACTGGATCCTAATGAGACTGAAGAGGCAGATGTGAGCCCAAAGATGTAGGGCCTTATAGATAATGTTAGAAATTCTGAACTTCATGCAGAGAATAATGAGAAGCCATTAAAAGGTTTCAGTAAGATATGGTTTAACCTCATTTTGAAAATTTCAGTCTGGCAGCTGTGCAGAGAATGAATTGAGAGAGACAATGACAAGGATAATGGTCAGAAGGCCACTGCAGTGATCCCAGGAAATGATGATGGTGGCTTGGTCTAGAGAGACAGTGATGATGGAAAGAAATAAACAGCTTCAGTATATGCTTTGGAGATAAAAATAACCTGGATGGGGTGATTCATTAGATTTTAGGGGTGAGTGTAGATGTCAAATAGACAGTTGGATATAGGAATCTGGAGCTTAGAAGTTGGACTAGACTAGAAATAAGAAGTCAGCATATAGATGGTATTTAGGCTGTTGGAAAAGAGGGTATTACTTGGAGAAAGAGTGTAGAATGAGAATGGAAAAGAGCCCAAGACAGAACATAAATAACTCTAGAACTAACATATAAGACTGAGAAACAGTAGTGAAATAGGAACAGGAAAACTAGAAAAGTGTGAGCTAGAGGAAAGAGAGTTAAACCTATTTTAAAAGCAATGACAATGATGGACTATGGAATCAAAACTGGATAAGAGGGGACATAAAAAGAGAACCTGAGGAAATAGAAATGAAGGGGTGAATATACAGGTTTCAGTGAGACCCAATAATTATGATAGGGGTACCTGAGTAAATGAATATAAAGTTAATTTTGGAGATGGTGAAATTGCTGGGGATGATAAAATCCTCAGTGTAAATAAGAGAATGAGTAAATAAAGGCGGAAATCACTAAAAATGAGAATAAGGAACCAAGAAGCCAGAATACCAGATGGGTCACCCATGAGGATATTGAGATCACCTGAGATACAAGTGTATCAGTTATCAATTTTGGTACTTCGAACATTTCTCATCTCTTCTTTATATTGTTCTGGCAGCAGGTGTGGCATCCCCCCAGTTCTGATGATCCAATTTCTCGATAAGGACATTTCTTTCCCCCTCCTTATGGCCCTAGTCTAACAGCATCACTTAGTAGATATTGGTTTCCACTTTTGGGTAGGAGGGTATTATCATTCATTCTAGAATGTTTAATTGACCCTAATGTCCAATTTAAGATGGCATTGTTTACCACCTCAGTACTATATAATAAGAACCTGGAGGTCACTTTTGACTATTTCATCCTGAACTATTAAACTAGTTCAGGATGGAGGTTCAGGATGAACTATTAAACTAGAAGGATGGAGTTAAGTCTCCCCTTCCACCACAAAAGGGCTACTTTTAGTATGGTTAGAATGTGGATACTCAGCAGCCATTTTAATGCATCTTCCTGTTATGGTATTTCCCAAGTTGTGTGAGTATCGGTGGTGTGGTTGTCTCAGTAATTACCATGGTGATGTGGAGAGCTAGTCTCAGTAATTACCATGGTGATGACCATGGAGGTTTCCAGGAAAACGAGCTACATCTGCGACAACACATCTCCTTGGAGTTTTTTAAGCTGCATCAGTTTCTTCAATGCAAAGAAAAGGATATTTTAAATGAGCTGCAGGAAGAGGGGAAAGCCTTGAATAAGGAGATGGAACTGAATGTCAACCAGCTTCAAGAACAGTATGTTCTAGTCCAGGACATGTTGCTGAGCATCCAGGCACGGATGGAACAGCAGAACCCCTTCGACTTTCTCAAAGTAAGACTCCATATCAACATGACTATGGGTATACTACCAGGGGAAAGAGGGTTAGAAAGGAAGTAGAAGCAGCTTTTCCCAACAACAGCTTTTCCCCACAGCACTACTGTTATAGTGCTTTGAAGATTCTCTGGGAGAAAAGCAAGAGGCTACTTTTGCCTTATACTCAATATAAAGTTTTACTTTCATCCTGCTAAAAAAGAAGATAATAAAATGCCATTAATGAAATTTGTATTAATATTTTAATATTTCTCCATAAAGAACTTTGAAGCTTTATTTCTCAAAAAGAATGCTGCGACCTAAGCTGTATCTTTGGCTCTCAGCTTTATAAAGAGACCTGTTTAAAAAGCTGTTTGCCAATCTTTGCTAATTGAAGGTTCACTTCTAAAGTGGTTTTGGTTGCCACCTCAACACTCAGCAGCTTAATCAGTCAGACTAAGAAACAGTGGTCTTGGGGTGAGAATACCTACTGTGTTTTTCTCCAGAGGCTGTGTCCCAGTATAGGTAAATACAGCTTAATCTTAACTTCTTTCTTCTTTCATGTAAAAGAGAGCTAGAAAGTCAGAGCAAGATAAAGCCAGTTTATCTTGGATTAGATGAAGGATGCAGATCAGAAAGACACATGAAGGGTGAGAGGTGGTGGTGGAATGGGGACCTTCTGCACAGGATTTCAGTATTGACAATTAAATTCTAGTGGGGGCCAGTATCACCAAAGAAATTTCTGCAGTTGATGAACAGGCATCTAACTTTTCTATTTCTTCTTTCCTCTTCTAGGACATCACACCTTTCTTGGATAGGTAGGTGGTGTTTCCATATGATACTAGTACCCTACCTTCAGTCCCTGGAAGATGTCTAAAATAAATGATTTATGTCCCTTGCAGCTTGGAGCAAGGGATAAGGTTGCTGACACCTGGAGAGCTTATCTCTAAAAAGCTGAACCCAGGCCTGTACAAAGGTCCCATCCAGTACATGATGTGGAGGGAAATGCAGTCTGCTCTCTCTCCAGGTATCAGTGGATAGTTGCTATCGGTTCCTGAAGCTCCTAATGTGTGTTTCATCTGTGGGACCACTTCTGTGGCCTTAATTAGTACTTCAGAGACTGGGATGGGGGAAGGATCGAGTTTAGCAAAATAAGGCTAGTTGGTGTGATTGAATTTTTTCTGGTACTATGACCTAAGAATTAATGGCTTTTTACTGGTAAATAGAGTCTGATACAAGAATTACCTCTCAGCCTAGATTTTGTTTTAATTGTTCTATACACTGTGACAATGAGTATTTTATCCTGCTTTGCTAAATGAGTTACATAAATCCCTGGAGCTTTTCTGCCATGGAGGAGAAATTAATTGTACATACTCTTTGAATGTAATAGAGTATTTATAAGTCTTGTGTTTGATGTTCATAATATAGAATATAATATCTTAGAAGATTATTTAGAGATCGACAGCACTTCAAAAGAAAACCAGTAATTTCAATAGGTGTGCCTAATATGAACACTAAGTTATTTTCATCCTGCAGATACTGAAGAATTGAGCAGGGCAAAGGAATACAAATGGCATTTCAAGAACATAAAGTTCTAAATACAAATCTTTATAAAAATTAAAAAGTTCTAAATATAATTTTTATAAAATTCATATAGACTCATTATTAGTAGTAGTTACTGACTTAATGAAAATCACAAATCTATCCCTGTTAATAATTTTTCCAGGTAATTGACATTTAAAAAATCAGCTTTATTTTCGTGTAATTAACATAGAAGAAACTCACTTTTTAAAGAAATTTATTTAATTTATCGTGGTGGCATTGGGTAATAAAGTTATATGGTTTCAAAGTTATATGGCTATATGTATAATTCTATAATACATCATCTGTATATTGTATTGTGTGTTCACTACCCAAAGTCAAGTCTCCTTCCACCACTATATATTCCTACCTTCACCCTCTTCTATCTCCCCCACCCTCCTTTCCCTCTTGTAATCATCATATTGTCTGTGCCCATCAGTAGATGAGTGGATAAAAACACTGTGGTACATTTACACAATGAAATACTACTCGGCCATAAAAAAGAAGGAAATCTTACCTTTGCAAGAGCATGGAGGGTATTATGCTAAGTGAAATAGCCAGTCAGAGAAAAACAAATACTATATGATTTCTTATATGTAGAATCTAATGAACAAAATAAACTAACAAAATAGAATCAGACTCACAGATACAGAGAACAGACTGACAGCTGTCAGAGGGGAGGGATGTAGGGGAACTGGGTAAAAAAGGTGAAAGGATTAAGTGAAAAAAAGAAACATCATTGACCTGCCTGGTGTGGCTCAGTGGACTGAGTACTGACCTGCAAACCAAAAGATTGCTAGTTCGATTCCTAGTCGGGGCACATGCCTGGGTTGTGGGCCAAGTCCCCAGTTGGGGGTAAGCAAGAGGCAAATCAGATAGGTGTGATAGGTGTTTTAATATCTTTGCTAATGTCTTTTAGTTTTCCCTTTCATCTTCACTAGTGGCCTATTATCTCTACTTCCTTATTTAAAAATATTTTGTTTACATGTTTGGTTTCTATAGGATTTTATAATATATATTTTACTTTCTCATACTATCTACCTGCAAGTAACAGCTTTTTGCATGTAGTATAAAAAATTTACACCAGTATACTTTTCTATTCTTCATCCTTTGTCATATACTTTATTTCTACAAATTATAAACTCCATATATTTTTAAACAATTATCATTTAAAAAAATTTTTAATGAAGAAATATCTTTTACATTCACATATTTACAATTTCTGGCACTCTTTATTTTTTATGCAGACACAAATGTCCATCTGATATCATTTTTCTGTCTGCATGAAGAGCTTCCATTAAATTTTTTATGGTTCAAGTAGGCTTGTGAGGAATTACCTCAACCTTTGTTTGTCTGAAAAAAATATTTATTTTACCTCATTTTTTGAAAGATTTTTTTCCCTGAATAGAACTCTGGGTTGATGGATTTCTTTTTCAGTACTTTAAATATTACTCCATTGTTTTGTGACCTGCTTAGTTTCCAATGAGATGTCTATTATAATTTTTATCTTTATTTCTCTGTATGCATTTTTTTCTTAGACTACTTTTAGTTAAGATTTATTTTTTGTTATTTCTTTCTACTAATTTAATTATACTGGGTCTTGGTGTGATTTTCTTCATGTTCATTCTGCTTGTGGTTCATTGAGCTTCTTCTTTTTTCTTTAAGATTTTATTTATTTTACTTTTAGAGAAAGCAAGGGAGAAAGAGAGGGAGAGAAACATTAATGTATGGTTGCCTCTCGCATGTCCCCAACTGGAGACCTGGCCCGCAACCCAGGTGTGTGCCCTGATTGGGAATCAAACTGGCAACCCTTTGGTTTGCAGGCCAGCACTCAACCCACTAAGCCACACAAGCCAGGGTGAGCTTCTTGAATATATGGGTTTATAGTTGTCATCACATTTAAAATAATGTTAGCTATTAGTTCAAGTATTTTTCACCTATCCCCCTTTCTTCTCTCCTTCTTGGACTCTAATTTTTATATGCTAGACTGCCTGATATTGGTTCACCTGTCATTGATGTTCAGTAATTTTTGGCTTTTTTTACCCTCTGTACTTCATTTTGAATAGATTACATTGCTATTCAAGTTCTCTCATCTTTTCTTCTACGCTGCTTAATCTTTTGTTAATTCTTTTCAAGATGTTTTTCATTTCAGATACGTTTCACTTCTAAAAGTTTCATTTGAGTCTTTGTATATCTCCCATTTCTCTCCTCACCATGTTCATGCTTTCCTTTACATTCTCAAGCAAGTGGAAGATACTTATGATAGGTGTCTTAATGCCTTTGCTAATTCCACCTTGTTGTTATTTCTCCACATTTTTATTGCTTGATTTTTCTCCTGACTATGGGTCATATTTTCCTGCTGCTTTGCATGGCTAGTAATTTTTTCTTTTCTTATTAAAAATAAAAGATTTTATTTATTTATTTTAGACAGAGGGGAAGAGAGGGAGAAAAACATCAGTATGTGGTTGCCTCTCTTGCGCCCCCTACTGGGGAATCTGACTTGGCTTGTAACACAGGCACGTACCCTAGACTGGGAATCAAACTGGCAACCCTTTGGTTTGCAGGCCAGTGCTCAATCCACTGAGCCACACCAGCCAGGGCATAATTTATTTTCTTTTTAACAAACTTATTTCTTAGAATATTTTTTAGATTTACAGAGAAATTGAAAAGATAATACAGAAAGTTCTTATAGATATCATCCCCAGTTTCTCCTATTATTGTCATTTTACATTTAGTGTGGTTTATTTTTACAACTAATGAACTAATATTAATGTATTATTATTGTTAATATATTATTATTAAATAACATCCATAGTTTCTTTAGTTTCCTTTATTTTTATCTAATGTCATTTTTCTGTTCCAGGATTCCATTTAAGATGCCACATCACATTTAGTTGTCATATTTCTTGAAGTTCTTCTTTAAATTCTTCTTTCAAGGAAAGTTTTTAGACTTTCCTTGTTTTTGATGACTTCAACATTTTTTTTTACTTTGATATTTTTAAGGAGCGCTGGTCATGTACTTTATAGAATGCCACATTATTGCAATTTGTCTGATATTTTCTCATAAGATCAAGGTTATAAGTTATTAAAAGGAAGGCCATAGTTGAAAGTGCCATTTTCAACATATCATATCAAGCATATATACTGTCAACATGATTTATGACCATTGATGTTGGCTTTAATCACCTAGCTGAGGTAGTGTGTGCCAGGTTTCTCCACTGTAATGTTACTCTTTCCCTCCATTTTCCATACTGCCCTCTTTGGAAGGAAGTCACTATGCAGAGCCCACAGTTAAAAAGTGGAGTTATGCTCCTTCTCCTTGAAAGTGGAATACCTGCATAAATTATTTGAAATACTTCTGCATGGGAGAGTTGTCTCTTCTGGCTGGTAATTTTTTATTGGATGTCAAACATGATCAATTTTGCATTGATGTTTGCTGGATTTTGTTGTAATTTAAAATTACAACAAAAGCCCTATTGGATTTAACTTTGGCATGTAGTTAAGTTATTTAAAATAGCTTTGTTCCATTTGATACTTTCTTTAAGCTTTATTGAGGCTTTCAAGCTTTGTTAAAGTAGTTCATTAGCAGCCTTTAAACTAGGGCTAATTTAGCCCACTTCCTAAGGTAACACCTTTCTGAGTACTCTGCCTGATGTTCCATATATTATGACATTTTTCCATTCTGGCTAGCAAGATTGAAAATTATTACCAGTCTTGTGTGAGCTCTAGAAATTGTTCAGCCTACTGCTTTCTAGATATTCTTTCTCTGGTCCTAATGAATTTCACTGAAGATCAATACTCAGCCACAGTCTTGAGGGAATTGCTTTGTAGATGTTCAAAAGTCTGTGTGCAGCTCCCTCCTTTGTGTTACTCTACTCTAGCCATCTTGGAATAATATTGTGTTTTTCTTCCTGTACTCCTTGCCCTGTAAAATCAAACTTTACTTCTAGCAATCATTTAAACCAAATGATTTTCTTTCATTTAAACCAAATCATTTAAACGAATTGATTTTCTTTATTTTTATATAATTTCACATCTAAGAAAATCTAATAGGATTTATTTAATATGTGGCTATTTTACTAACAATGTAACTGTGGTCAAACCCTGGTAAAATATACTTCATACTTCTTATTTCTAGGCCTTTGCTTATTCTGTATGCTCATATTCTCCCCTTCCCTTCCTTATAATAGATACTGTTGCTTTAAAAAAGGAGCTGATATTTTCTTTTTGTAAATGGTCAGAGAGTAAATATTTTGGGCTATGTGAGCTGTATGGTCTTTGTCAAAACTACTTCACTCTGCCATTGTAGTGAAAAAGCAACCACAGACAATATGTAAATGAATGGCCATTGATGTGTTCCAATAAAACTTTACTTACAAAACTGGCAGCCTGGCCTCCTGATTGTAGTTTTACCAATTCTAATATAAAATATTTTAACATACTTCC